CAGAGAAGCTGTGGCTGCCCCATCCCTGGAAGTGTCCAAGGCCAGGCTGGATGGGGCTCTGGGCAACCTGGGCTAATGGAAGGTGTCCCTGCCCATGGCAGGTGTTGAAATCAGATGAGCTTTAAGGTCCCTTCTAACCCAATCCATTCTGAGATTCTGTGAAAATCAGTGTTAATCACAGTCTGGCTTGATTTTTTTTTTGTGGAATGGGGAACATATTATGTTGGATTTGGGGCCCCTTACCCAAGATCCTCCTTTACTCACTGTGCTTCCTGCAACACCCCATCAGGATGAATTTCACTGTAAAGTCCTCAATTTTCTTCAAACTACACTTTAATGCTCACCTTGAGAGCACAGTGTGACTGGAAAGGAAATCATCATTAGCTCTTCTTTCCCTTTTTCCTTCCCCAAAAATGTGTTTGGCTCCTCAGCCACGCAGGGAAATGATAAACTGGTGGGGCCCCAGTTTTTCTGTAACCCCACTGTAACCATCAGACAGGCTTTGCCAATTCATTTGTATTTGTGTGGGCAAATACATTAGAGGAGTTTTACATCATCTGTTTCCTGTTGCCCACTGTTTGCCTTTAGCCTTCCCCACGTCCAGTCCCTAAGGTAAAGATAACCAACCTGTGTCTCTTCCTTGCTTTTTCCTCCACTGAAGGAAAAAGCCCTTCTTCCAACCTTTCTTCATCCAAGCAAAATGCTCTCCACTTTTCTGCAGAAGACCCCAAAATGGTCTAGTCTGGATTTTTTTCCACCTACAGCTGCCTATGGGAGAAATGCAGAGGGACCCAGATATCTCCCAGTAGCACCAGTGCAAGCACAGCTAGACACCACACAGCTCCAGCCTGTGAGCCTGTGAAGAGAGCAGGTCAGGTGGCCTTGGCCACCCCGATGTCAAAATAACCTCAGACACATGCAGGCTCCCATGTTTTTTCCCTCTTTTGTGAGCAAAACAAGCAGAAGCACGCAACCAACACACCCACTGGCGATGTGCTGAAATGGAAAGGCTTGAGAGGAGCACACGGGTTTCTCTCCAGAGGTTTCTCCTTGGGATTTTCATCTACATTGACATGCCAGCCTGGGAAAGCACCTGAGGAGATGGCACGGCCTATCCGAGTCAGTAGCTCATCAGCTCTGAGGGATTTGCCTGATATTTCTGACCTGCTGCCATCCATCACGTCAAAAAACCCACTGCTGGAGCAGAGCCTTGGATCACATCAGCACAAGGGACTGTGACAGCCCAGCAGGGGGGACAAAGCCAGGCCACGCTGGGCCAGAGCCACCACAGCCCCTCCAGAAAACATTACCCACACCCGAGAGACCCTGCACAGCAACACAGCCCCCCACACGGGCTGGGGGCAGGTTTTAGGGACACCCCTGTGCTGCTCTGCTGCTCCTGCATGTCCTCTCTCCTGCAGAATAAATCTGTCAATGCTTGGCAATGGGACAGCTGTCGATTTTGAACCTGTCATGGGGACTGGGGTCAAGGTATCAGCTGAATTTTAAGGGGATTGAGCAAGCTGGATATTTCCATAAGGGAACAACGGATGAAATCAGGCACCAGTCGGTCAAAGCTATCCATGGATTTGGGCCCTTGGAAAAATGGTTTAGTGGAAAAGGTGCCCAAGGAAAGCAACTTGGGAGATCGAGGTTAAAGGAATTCAGGTGTAAAGAAAGGGAAAAGGGAGAATGGCTTTAAACTGACAACAGGCAGGGTTAGTTTGAATGTTAGAAAGAAATTTCTTGGTTGTGCAGGTGGTGAGGCCCTGGGACAGATTGCCCAGAGAAGCTGTGGCTGCCCCATCCCTGGAAGTGTCCAAGGCCAACTTGGACAGAACTTGGAGCAACCTGGGCTAGTGGAAGGTGTCCCTGCCCATAGCAGGGGGGAGGAACTTTAAAGTCCCTTCCAGTCCAGACCATTCTATAATTCTTTGAATAGCTTACCTCTCCTGAGAAGGCATTTGCCTCAGCACCCTATCCGGAGCTGGAAAGCCCAGCTGGGAGGGTTTGGCACTTTTGCACGGCTACATTGTAAGTGCTGCGGTGTCAGGGCAGCATTTCCCTCCCCTTTTCTTTCACTAGTTGCAGAATTCCCATGCCTGCCCAGAGCAGGGACAACCATGCCATCTCCTGGTGGCACCTGGTCCTGACGAGCTGGATGAAGTGAGTCGCCCAGGCAGGCTCAGCGGGACCCTCGTGTTCCCCTGCAAACCCTTCTGGCTTCGTTTCCTTGCTGGAATTGAAGCAGAGGAGCAGCGTTAGTCCCTAAGCAAGGCAGGAAGCAAAGGGGGATGCTGGAGGACAGGATGTCCAAGCTGCAGATTGCAGCTCCGTGCTCTATTCCCCCTTCCCAAATTAGCCACCCTGGTCCTGGTCATTGATGGAAAGAGCATTGTTTTCTGCAGGATATCCCTCGGGGAAGGGAATGAACTGCTGGAGAAGGTGGCTTAGAGAAGAGACTCGGCTGTAGCACTCGGCTCCCACCTTGCAATCACCCAAGCGGGTCCAAAACAACCCATCAATCCATCTCCAGCTCATCTCCATCAGGGACTCCGACAGCAACATCCTCCCACTGGCACGCCTGTAGCATCCCAGCCAAAAACAGACTGGAGGGATGCTCACAGGGATTCCCACACTGCCAATGCTGCTAGAGCTGAATCCCTGCAGGTGCTAAACCCTGCAGGAACCAGCAATGAGTGATGAAAAGGAAAGGAGCAGATTGTTTCTTTTTCTTCTTTTTTTTTTTATTAGACTAGGAAATATAATTTATTGCATAAAAATTAATTTGTTACAATAGGAATGCTAAACTTTATTTACAGTTCTTTAGTTTACAGAATAAACAGACACGGTTTCAGAGGATGCCACCAGGCCCATCCCCCGGACATATAAATATGGAAACAGACTGCGGAGCAAGAGATGGACACTGCCAGCACAACATGGACCACGGGGCTGCCTTTGCCAAAAGGCCTGGCTGGAGAAACCCCTGGGTGTGGTGGGAGGCGTGGGAGGTGCACCCATGGAAGAGGGGCAGAGGTGCTCAGGGGACCAGGGTGGGGGGCAAACCCTGCCTCCCTCCTGCCCCACTCCCAGCACAGGTTCCCTGGTCTGGAGAATGGGGAGAACCTCCCCAAACACAGCTGGGCCAGGTGGCTGCTGCCTGCCAAAGGGAAAGGGGAAGATGAATGCAATGGATGGGGATGGAGCCAGAGGCACCCGCGGGCGGGACGGATGGACGAACGGATGGACAGACACACGAGCCAGCGCAGTGATCCATAAACGAGAGACAGCGAGAATGGGAGTGAGAGAGATTCAGAGGCAACCTGAAGGAGTATCTCATCTCACAGAGAACACCGTGGAAGTGAGAAAGGAGCTCTCCAAACCACCAGCAGTTGGTTTTATCCATCAAGTCTTCATTTCTTTCCAAATTTGCTTATTCCTCCTTAGCTCAGAGACAGGGTCTCAGAAATGCTCAAATGCAAGCTACAGGATGGATATAACCCTTCCCATGTGACACAGGAGCTCACCCAGCAGCAGTCTTCCCATCCGGCACAAGTGGAAAAGATCCCTTCTCTCCCACAGCCTTGAAAACCCAGCAACAAGCCGAAAGATCCCGAAACACAACAGGGAGTGGCTCTACGTGTTCCATCATGGCTCCAAGAGCCGCCCAGAGGAATCCTATCGTGCCCCAGCAATACTGAAAGCTCTCCCCGAGCTGCCCTGTGCAGGTGATGCTCTCCAGGGCTCCCTGAGCGTGCTCCAGTCCCCAGCACACTGTGGGATGACACAGGCACCCCGTGGCACTGGGCCAGGGCTCTGCAGCCAGGACACTGCATGTTGCAGCCCAAAGCAGGACCTCCTCCTAATACTTCCACTGACGGAGAATCCACAGCCTTGCCGTGTGACCTAGCCTAATCCTGAGCTTACCACCCCCTTCCTCTATTTTTTTCTTTAAAATAGACAAATTTCTAAGATACAGCACTTTCTGAGTAACTATTTCTATCTGCAGGCAACCTAAATTTTTACCTTCATCAAGACACCGTATCTGTGTGAGGAACCTGGTTCCTGCCTACCCCTTGATTACTTTCCATTCACTCCCCAACTTCCCCATCGTTACAAAAAGCCTGTTAAAGGGAAAAACAGGAGCTGCAATGAGGGATGGAAACCTGATCACTGCTCACGATGCTGTCCCTCATGTGGAAATGCTCAGCCTGGCTCACAACTTGGGGACGCTGAGGTATTCCTCCCTGAATCCCTCCTGAAATACTGCATCAAAAACCGGGGATGAGCACATGGACCCGAGATGAGGCCACATCCCAGCCCATCAGCCCTCTGCTCTCCCTGGATCCTTCCACAAGCCACTCCTCACCTCCCTCTGACCCCCGGGCCCAGGTTTGGAGTGTTCACTGAAAAATCCTGCTGGGTTTAAAACACCCCCCGCTTTGACCTTGGGGTCCGTAGGTTGGTGCAGGACTGAAATCTTTGGTTTTTACTGAAGTTACACAAATGAAGGCGCAGTCATCCTAAAAAGCTCCCCCAAACAATGCCAGGGAAGAATTCATTAAAAATACCCATATCTGGATGCACTCTCCCCACCATGAACCCCAAATACAGGGCAACATCTCTCATCCCTCCTCACAGGTGGAAGGGAGTCCCTCGATCTGCTGGGCAGGGAAAGGGGAGTTTGCAAGGGAAAAAACCTTGGGAAGGGTCTGAGCTGGCCCTGAACCAGAGGGGCGGAGAGGCACTTCACCCTACGGACTCCCCGGGGGTCCCAGGACATGTAAACATGTTTTGCTTGACTTGGATCACACACTTTTCCCTACAAAAGTGTGTCCATTGAAATCTCTCTGCCACCCTGACCACAGCAACGCTCTTGCTCTCACGCACCAAAAAAAAAAAAAAAAATTTATAAATCTGCCTTTTTTTTTTTTTTTTTTTTTTTTTTTAAAAAAAAAGAAAAAAAAAAAAAAATTTATAAATCTGCCTTTTTTTTTTTTTTTTTTTTTTTTTTTAAAAAAGGACGCATCCAAAGATCTGGATAATAAATTATTTGCGTTTCCTAAGAAACTCTTTTTTTTTTCCTTTTTTTTCTTTCTTATTTGCCTCGTTAAGCTGCCTGAAGCCTTTGACAGGAGTTAAGCCGTTCGCCTGGATTGAACTCGCCTCTTCAACGCAGAAATGCTATTAAAGGAGGAGGAGGGGAACCCAAAAGAAGAAGGAAAAGGAAAGCCCCCATCCCAACTCAAGAAGCCCTAATTCCTCCCCGTGCCATGAGGAGGAGGAAGAGGAATGCTGCGTAACACTTGGATTGCTTGTAAACGCTGAGGACGGGTCTCTAAGGCTGACAGTGATGTGGGAGGGAGGAGGAGTGCCGGCCTCCGCCCTTCCTTGCTCAGGATGGACGTGCCTCCCCCCCAGCCGTTGGGGAAGGACCCCTCCTCACCCCCTGTTTCGTCCTCCTGGCCCACCAGCCGTGGGAGCATCATCAGCAGTCCCCCTCTGTGGCCATGACCACCAGCATCTCGCTCTTGCCCATCTCCTCTAAGGCACTGGCCAGGGTGTTGAGGTCACCGTCGTCCTGGTGCTCGGCTTCCCACAAGTCCAGGAGCACCCCGGTGGGGCTGGCTTTGGTGGCAAAGTAGTTCAGATACCTGAGGAGGAGAAGCAGAGGTTGGTGTGGTGCCCTTTGGGGGTGGAAGGAGGGAGGATGCCAGAGCAGCAAACCTGTTTGCAACATGAACTGTGGCAAGAATGCCATAACACAAATGCCAAAGCCCTCAAGATGCCATCTTCAACTTTTACACAGAGCTGACACTCATGCAAAAGCAATGTAAGCTTTGTTTTGCTGAGATTACCCTCCCTCCCTTCAGTCCTAAGGGTGAACCCAAGCAGGAACAGGACTGCCCTGGTCCCAGGGCCATTCCAAATGCCAAGAGACCCACAGATGGATCTCAGAATGGTTTGGGTTGGAAGAGACCTTAAAGATCATCTCATTCCAACCCCTGCCATGGGCAGGGACACCTTCCACTAGCCCAGGTTGCTCCAAGCCCTGTCCAACCTGGCCTTGGACACTTCCAGGAATGGGGCAGCCACAGCTTCTCTGGGCAACCTGTGCCAGGGCCTCCCCACCCTCACAGGGAAGAATTTCTTCCCAATATCTCATTTAAAGCTCTCCTCTTTTAATTTAAAACTGTATCCATGGATAGAGATGGTGTCCTAGTTAGGACAGCTGAGTTCATCATGGTATGGGTGTAACCCAAAACTGTGTATTCTATAGCCTTCCATGCCATTTCCCAGAAACTGTTGTCAATAGACTATTAGCACCTCTGCCCATAAGAGCCTGACTCCTCAGGCTATAAACTAGGTGTTAAGAGGCCTGTGAGATAAGAGGATCCTCTTA